ATGCATAGCAAACTAGAAATAAAATATTTTTAAAAAATCGTTTATTTATTTAAGACGCAGAGAAAGAGAGCAAGCTCCTATCTCTTGGTTCGCCCCCAACACGTCTGCAATGGCTGAGGATGGACTGAGGCTGCAGCCAGATGCCAGGTCTACTACCTGGATGGTAGGAAAACAATCACTTGAGACATCACTGCTGCCTCCCAGGTTTTGCATTAGCAAAGTTGGAGTCAGGAGTGCCAGGCATCAAACCAGGTGTTCTGATGCTGGCATCTTAACTGTTAGGCTACACACCAGTCCTAGAAGAATCATTGTCAATTTAGTAAAAGCTATAAACTAAAAAACTTAGTATTATATTTTATTGAGAAACTTTATATGCATCTCCTTTAAGACTGGGTATAAGGTGAGGATGCTTCACTGTTACAATAGCCCTTTAACATACTAGTGGAATTAGCTCAAGGTATGGAAAAGAAGTAGTAGTTTACATATACAGAAGGGGAGGGTAGAAATAAAATTGTCATTACCTGTAAATGGTATGATCACATATCTAGAAAAAAGAATAACCTACTAAGATTTAAAGAGCTCTGGAATATTTTTACAATCAAAATCAATGTTGAAAAAATTAGTAGTCTATATTAGTGTTAGTAATAAGCATCAAGAAAATAGTCAATGGAATATTTAAAATTTGAATGTCTCCCTAAACATCATTCATTTAAAAAGTGGAAATGTATATACATATATAGATATAATATAAAAAGCTGATAAAAATTGATATTTAGGACTAAAAATTTTTTAGAATACATTATTAATCAAGAGACAGAAATGCGGGGCCAGCTCTTGGTATAGTAGGTTAAGCATTTGGCTGCATTGGGCTGGTTTGAGTTTTGGCTGCTTCACTTCTAATTCAGCTCCCTGCTGATGGCCTGGGAAAGCAATATGGGGTGGCCCAAGTGCTTAGGCTCCCGCACCTGCATGGGAGACTCGGAAGAAGCTCCTGGCTCCTGGCTTCTAATCGGCCTAGGTCCAGACATTGTGGCCATTTGGGGAGTGAATCAGCAGATGGAAGATTTCTCTCTCTGTCTTTCCCTCTCTCTATCTGTAACTCTGCCTCTCAAGTAAATAAATCATTTTTAAAAAAAGAGACAAAAATGCAAAGTAAAAGTGAATATAGACCATAAACAAGCAATTTCAGAAGATGGAAGCCAAAAGGTGAACAATTATGTGAAGAGATATTCAAACTCATAAGCAGTAGAGAAATCTAAATCAAAATAATAAGCTAAAAAAATCACACACATTTAAAAACACGAGAATGTTAGATGCACCTTAATGTTTATTGCAGTTCAATTCACAATAGCTAAGACCTGGAATCAACCTAATTGCCCATCAACAGTAGACTGGATAAAGAAGTTATGGGACATGTACTCTATAGAATACTATACAGCAATAAAAAACAATGAAATCCGGTCATTTGCAACAACATGGAGGAATCTGGAACACATCATGCTGAGTGAAATAAGCCAGTCCCAAAGGGACAAATATCATATGTTCTCCCTGACTGGTGACAACTAACTGAGCAGCAAAAAGGAAACCTGTTGAAGTGAAATGGACACTATGAGAAACAGTGACTTGATCAGCCCTTGTCCTGACTATTGATGTACAATGTAATACTTTATCCCTTTTAGTATTTTTTTTGTTTGTTTTTAGAACACCTTTATTAGCCTTGGTTGAACCCTTTAATTAACACGAAATTATTCTTAGGTGTTTAAATTTAACTGAAAAGTGATCCCTGTTAAATATAAGAATGGGAATAAGAGAGGGAGGAGATGTACAATTTGGGAAATGCTCAATCAGACTTGCCCCTAATGGTAGAGTTAGAAACGTACTAGGTGATTCCAATTCAATCCCATCAAGGTGGCATGTACCAATGCCATCTCACTACTCCAAGTGATCAATTTCTGTTCACAATTGATCATAATGATAGGAATAAGAGTCAAAGGGATCAGAGAAACAAGACTAGTGTCTGCTAATACTGATAGAATTAAAAAGGTAGAGAACAATCCAACATGGGAAGTGGGATACACAGCCGACTCATAGAATGGCAGATGTCCTAAACAGCACTCTGGCCTCAGAATCAGCCCTTAAGGCATTCGGATATGGTTGAAGAGCCCATGAGAGTATTTTAGGCATGAAAAGCCAAGACACTCTGGCAAAAAAAAAAAACAAAAAACAAAAAACAAAAAAAAAAAACCAAACCACCTAAATGAAAGATCTCTGTGAGTGAGATCCCAGTGGAAAGTATGGGCCATCAAAGAAGGAGGTGCCTTTCTCTGAAGGGAGGAGAGAACTTCCACTTTGACTATGGCCTTGTCTAAATAAGATTGGAGTTGGCAAACTCAAGAGGCTTCCATAGCCTTGGCAACTCATGACTAGAGCCTAGGGTGATTACTGACGCCATCTGTCAATTTGTTATGTCAACAACAGGAGTCACTGTGCACTTACTCCTCATGTAGGATCTCTGTCCTTAATGTGTGGTACAATGTGATTTAATGCTATAACTAGTACTCAAACAGTATTTTACACTTTGTGTTTCTGTGTGGGTGCAAACTGTTGAAATCTTTACTTAATATATACTAAATTGATCTTCTGTATATAAAGATAATTGAAAATGAATCTTGATGTGAATGGAATGAGAGAGGGAGCTGGAGATGGGAGGGTTGCAGATGGGAGGGTCAAATTAAGTATAAAGAAATACCCAATTAACTAGACATTTTGCTTCAAAGAAATTTTCACGAAGTTCCATGATTGATAAGTCCATCATGAAGATGTTCATCATGGTCTTATTTTTGGTGACAGGGAATTAGAAACAATCTAGGTTAGCAACCAATGAAGGAAATGGATAATAGAAACATAGTACCTATAACAACAGAATACCATGCAGCAGTCAGATACAATGTACATATAGCAACGTAAATAAATGTTAAAATTTAATTTAAATAAAGTAAAATTCTACATATAATGAAATACAGAGCACAATAAAATGTATGGCATACTTAAATTTTAGCTACATAATTCGGGGGGTGGTAGATATAAGTTAAATATACTCAACCTTGGGATAATACTGCTGAAGCATGAGAGATGGGCACAAGGTAATTCATAGTATTATTCTCTCTCTCTCTTTTTATTTGGTAGAATGACACATAGAGAGAGAGGGAGATAGAGACAGAGATCTTCCTTCGACTAGTTCACTCCCCAAATGCCCACAACAGCTGGGGCTAGGCTCAGCCCAAAGCCAGGAGCCAGGAACTCATACAGGGAACATTAACAGGAAGCTGGATTGAAAGCAGAGGCAGCAGGACTTGAACTAGCATGCTGATCTGGAATGTGGGAATGTATATGGAACAATGATCAGACAAAGAGAGAGATTTTCCATTGAGTGGTTCACTCTACAAATGCCCATAATAGCCAGAGCTGGGTTAGGTTGAAGCCAAAAGACTAGAACTCCATCAGGGTGTCCCGTGTGTGTGGCAAGGGTTCCAGCACTAAGCCATTATCTGCTGCCTTTAGGATGCATAAGCAGGAAGCCTGATTGGAAGTGGAGAAGCCAGGACAGGAACTGGCATTCCCTTATGGGATATAGGCATCCCAGCATCAGCCTAATCTACTGTGCCACAATTCTTGTGCTTTAATAACTGTTTTAAGTAATAAACTCTATTTATGAGGGATCTTCAAAATTTTCATGGAAAATGGTTATTATGGAAAAACTATGCATACATTTCAAAACATGTACCAAAAAAAACCCCTAACTTTAATTCTCTTTTCCAAGAAATTTTTGAATAACCTTGTGCAACAGAACTGAATTAAAAGCAAGTTATATCACTTATCCATCCATGAGAAGTCATTTCTAACAAACATATTCAACACAGAAGCTAGAAAAATCAGGAAGCTGCTAACCACATATTAAGGAGAGGAAAAAAAACCCAAACTACCAGGCTCTAAGTACTTGTACTCTAAAAGAATAAAGCAAAATGGAACAAAGGAAAAAAAAAGCCAAAAAAGTCCTGTAACTAGAATCTGTAAATTCTTTCTACTTGGTTTACAGTGGCAGATGCTGTTTCCTTTCCCCCTCAAAGGTAAATGCTTAGGCTGATATTGAAATGGGCTTTTCAAGTATTTATTTCTGGTTTCTTTTGAAAAAAAAATCCTTAGATTTGATAGTACAGTCTCTCATTCACACTTAGCAGACACTAGAGAAGAACAGGAATTCATCTTATATATAAGATCATATATAAGATCATATCATATATAAGATCATATATAGGTCATATATTCTCCAGGCTTCCATTGTCCCACCTGTTAGATAATATTATTTAAAGTATTCTTGTTCCTCTTGTAACTCAACTGAAATTATATCAAAATATCGTAACAAATTTTCCTAGTCATATAAGCAGCCAGCCATTGGAAGCATGCACAGCCATGCTAAGTTAGAGGATATGCTTGGTCAGGGCAAATCTTTGGCAAGTTATGAAATAATGAAGAGGTTTTTATTAATACTCAGTGGTATTAATACTGTGAGAATGGAACCTATTTACAGGGAGTTTTGGAGTGGGTAAAGAAAAAACTTTACATTGTTAAGGGAGCTGATTCATTAAATGCAACACTGTACAGTGGTTGAAGGAAGTTTTTGTTTAATTATTTTATCAAGTAACTGAGTGTACTCACTGGTACGATAGGAGCTAATTTATTCTTTATATATTTATTGATTTGCTTTTACCCATAATATTACATAATTTTTAAAATCAGATGCCTATTATATATGAAATCTGATACCTCCTGAGAAAATGGTATTAGGGTATGAAAATTTGTACCTGAATATAAATGAATGTAGTTATGAGGTCACTTAGATGGGTTCACTGATAAAAAGAAAGCTTAGAAAGAAAAAATCATTATCTGGCAACTTGAATCATTTAAATTAAATTATTCATGAGGTTACAGTTATTACTCACCTTGAGTGTCTAACTTCTAAAGATCTTGTCTGTAAACCATAAAGCTTCAGTGTCTAGTTCCCACATGCAGAAACTCCCATCTTCAATGTTCATCTAAAACACATGGAAAAAAAATCCATGAATTTGAGGTTATAAATATTATTTCATTTTTTTAAACATAAAGTAAATCCATGTAGTTATTCTTCATGAGTTTCTTTAATACATTTGGGCAAAGAAAGGTGTGCAACATAGGGCATGATTTTATGTAAATAAACACAGTAACATCGAGATTTCCCCTTCTGAATAATCTGAAAGTTCTGTGGAACACAGATTTTGATGTATGTCATAAAGTTGAGAACTGGATATAAACCTAATTTTATCTGGGTACATAGTTTCCATGAAAATTCTTCATAAATATACTTTTAATACATTGATTCTCATATCATGTATGGACACAGTCCAACATTATTACAAAAACATACTCTTGATTACACTTGAGTTGACTTTGAGAAGACCCCAAATCATAGAAATTAACTACCTCAGTTTTTTGTGCTCATAAAAAAAGTGAAATTTCAATTCCCCTTATCACTTAAACTTCCTAATCAGTACGGTATACCAACTTAATATAGGCAAGGAGGTAGCTTGCAAGGCAGAGCTGGGGTTAGCAGAATCTCCTTATAATCCTGGTCTATTTCATCCAATATACTCCCACAGTTTCCATAAAATCATCACCCAGAACTGACACTGACTAAAAAATAGCCAACATGGCTGCTGATTGCATGCTTGTGATGACCTATAACTAAATCAGATATTATTACAATAAAATCACCACGGTAACACTCCTACTCTCATCACACACCTGACCGTAACCAAACTTCTGAGAATTCCAAAGAAAACCAAGGAAATGGGCAATTCTCCATCCTGCCTGAACACTGCCCCCTATGAATATTTATTAATTCATCCCAGACACCATCTCCATGCCTCCATTTCATACAAGAGAATGGCACTGAACCTCTTTGGGCACAACTTTTTCGAGCATAACCATATGTCCTCTTGAGTGTGCACTTTTGCTTAGCTAATAACCAAACCACTATGTACATCACATCCTCAAATTTTTTCTTGTGTTGGAGGCAAGAATCTGAATCTAGCCACCCCAGGATATCTGTGGAGAGTCAGCCAGGGGAAAGGTGAAAGCCCATCCAGAAATCAGCTAATGTGTCTTTCTCCCAACTCAACCTTGCTTGCACTAGAGTCTTGTTTTCATTCTGCCTTGTTTTGGTACTATTTGGGCATGGACATTCTACACTGCCTGACCTCTCTTTCATCTATGCCTTCTAAAACACCAATTTTTTGGCACCACTGGGATGAATGCCCCATTACACATTTTACCACCCTTATCAATGAGGTGTTTTATTCCACTACAATAAGCATATATCTATATATGGAAAAATCAATTTTGGGACTCCCAGGAACCCATATTGTCTCTGTGGATAAGCCTTTGGAATATGGCCACCCTCATGTTCTTGGACCCAAAATAAATCTGATCAGGAGACTATGCCACTCACTCATTTGGTACAGTGTTATTGTCTCCCATATTCATGGCAATGGCTAGAATGAGGGGTCTGGATGTGGTATTGGGACATGACTGATGGATGCTCTAAGGAGCAGTCCATGCATGAGTTTCTCTGTATTCTTCTAAAGAAGGTTCCTCTACGCTCCTTTCTTTTGGTAACTTTCCAGATTCTTTTAACGTTCATAGCAAACCACTACAGACTGCACTTGAAGCATTAAACACGTTACATTTTGCTAAAATGCTAAAGATGAGGTTTAAGATCTGTTGATCTTTCATGACTCCCCCTATACCCCTTCTCCTCTGCACAGAAATACTCAGAGGCTGTGGATGCTTGGCCAAAATGAAGGGGTCTGAAGGTGCTCAGTCAGGTTTCAATCAGTTCACAAGAGGGTCCAGAACTGATATAGACCACTGCCAATGCTCTAATAGAGTCCAGACCTATTCATTCCACTATCTTTCTTTGTCCCTCCCTAGGTTATAAAAAAGCTCTTTCAACCATGGATAACAATCTGTCCATTCCCATTGACTCAATTCCTTAATAATTGGGAAATCATTAAAGTAGATATTTTGAAAAAGAAAACACTTATTTTCTTTTGCAACATTATCTGGCCCCATTACAAGACTGACCAAGGGAAACCTGGTCACAAAAAGGAACCCACAACTTTAATTTTATCCTCCAACTTGACTTCTTCTGCAAAGGAGAAAAAAAAAAAAAAGGTCAGAAATTCCTTATGTCTAGGCCTTTATGGCACTATTTCATAACCTTACTCAGTTACTTAGGGGGAGCTGTAGGCTCTTTTATGCCTATTTCCTCTTATAGATAACAGAGTCAAAAGAGCACCAGATAGATCTGATGGATGATCTGCTATTGAGTGGTCCTCCACTACCCAGAACTCAACCACCTCCCTCTTATTTCATCAAAACTGTCATTGGGGGGCAACGAGTCCTCCCCTTTTTCCTCATGCCCCAATTTTTTTCATCTGCTATCCTACTGCCTTCACTCTACAACCTCTCTCTGGAGGACAGCCTAGCCAGAAGCACTTTCAATGGGGCATCTTATCCAGGTACAAGTTAGCTTTGTCATCTGAAAGGGATGGCTGACAGTCATGTTGGCACAATTAGAGTACATGTTCCTTTTTCCATGACTGATGTAAATAATTGTAAAGAAAAGCTAGGGAAGTTTTCAGAATATGCTACCAAATTTATGGAGGAATTTCATGCCCTTACTCTGACCTTTGAATCGACCAGATGTGATAATGTTTTTTCCTCTTTGTGCGCCCCTGAAATAAGAGATTGGATCTGGGCCAAGCCCCACACCCATGCTGACTTCTTGGCAGCCCAGCAGACTGATTGCCAAACCCCTAGATGGAGGCTTAAAGAGTTCAGATGCTGATACACTTGAGTGGATGGGAAAACAACACAGGGCCTTTAAAAAGATGAAAGGTCTGGTGCCAACAATCCCTGCACTAAGGATTCCTAATTTAGACAAGCCCGTCACCCCGTTTCTAGCTGAAAAAAAAACCAAAAAACAAAAAGTGGGTATTCTTCCATGACAAGTGGCCTATTTTTCTAAACAGCTGGATTCTGTGGCTACAGAATGGCCTGGATGCTACTGTACTTTTGGTAGAGGAAAACTACCAAATTGACTTCAGGCCAGTCGCTTGAAGTTCAAACGCCACACAAAGGATATCTAGAGATTAAAAGTACACCAATGGCTAACAGGAGGATACTCACTGAACACCAGACTCTCCTTTTAAATTTGCCATAGGTAATTCTCAAAGCATGCCAAGTCCTCAATCCACTCTTACACCTTCTGAAGATACTGAAAAGCTGGCTCAGTCTTGTGTAAAGTTCACAGAATAGGCCTACTCCAATAGACCTGATTCGGAAGATGAACCTCTGGAAAGTCTAGACCATGAAGGATTCACTGATGGCAGTAGTTTCATAAAGAAAGGGATCAGAAAAGCAGGATATGTCACAGAAATTGATAGCAAAGCTGTGTAGGTCCAGTCACTACCACACAATACTTTGGCTCAAAAGGCTGAATTTATTGCTTTGATTAGATAAATTAAATCTGGGAAAAGACTGGAGATTCAATATTTACACAGATTCCAAATATACTTGCCTTGTGCCACAAGCACACATGGTGATTATGGAGAGAGAGGCTTTCTGATTGGGAAAAATTTCCCCTCAATGAGGCTGCATTTCCTGATAACATGCTTTTCTTCCTTCTTATTCCATAGGTCAAAAAGGAGCAAGAGTATGAACCATGTCAGAGAAAGGAAAGCCCATGAATACTCACGCTATCTTCTTCAGGAAACTGCCATTGTTAAGAAATCCTGCCAGTAAACTTTCCCAACAAGGTAACAAAAGGTACTACAGACCATGAAGTTGCTTTAAGAAACCCATCTGGTGCTTTGGGTCATGTAGCCCAGACTGCTGGACAAGCCCTAGAACAACTAAAAGATTCTTTAGTTTCCCTAGCTAAAGCTGTCATAGACAACTAACTAGCTCTACATTACCTACTGGCTGAACATGGAGGAGTATGTTCAATGAGTAATAAAACCTGCTGCACTTAATTCAATAAGATAGTAAAAGAGTTTATGATCAAGCCTGGTTCAAAGATTTTAGTAAGGGAAGTTCTCTGACTTCCACCACCTGAAAAGTGCTCTCTCTCCCTTCTCTGACATGGTTCCCACTCTTGATCTTTTTGGCCCATATATATTCATCCTAACAGTCAAATCTGTGTTTTCCCAAATTCAAAAGTTTCATGTAAAGATGACAGTTATGCAGAAATGTTAGCCATTACCAGTGGCTGGTGATGAACCTCTAGATTAGCTGGCAGGATGACAAGTTAACATAGCATACAGAACTTACAGACCTTCCTCTCTTCACATACTATAAATTTTGAAAGACAAAAATCTGAAAGGAAAAGATGAAATAGACAAGGAGAAGCTAAAGTCATCAAGTCCTTATAATCCCACCTACTCCACAAAGTCCCTGACCCTTTTTGTTCTGTGGAAAACCATAGTCTCCACGAAACGCTGCTGAGAACCAGCACTGGCTGGAAATAAACATAGCTGATCGACCCAAACTGAATTTAAGTATCATTATAATGAAATTACCATGCTTACACTCCTACTTCCATCATGCATCTGATGCCATGGCACTTTCAAGACTTTCAAAAAAGTTAAGGATTAACTTCCCAACAGAAACCATAACTTTGTTTCCAAATTATATAAAGAGATAGTGTGGATTCTCAGTGGGCGCAGGTCTCTGTCAAACATGCCCATACTCCTCAAATGTGTACTCTGCATGGCTAACATTGAATCCTGTTCCTCTAACCTTTTCCTATACACTTCATCTTTGAAATAGTTCTTGCATGGGAGACAAGTATTTAGACCTAGCCATCTCATCATAAATCTAGCTAAAAAAAAAAAAAAATACCTTGTAAGAGAAACTGCCTTTTAGTGACAAATAGGATTAAACAGAGAAAATAACCTTTGCCTAAAGAAATGGATTCTGTCTTCTTTGATGATAA